GACCGTCAAAGTGGTTGGGCACCATTCCTTTCCCCCGTCCCATCTCAAATCCTTATCCTGGCCCCTTCAAGGTGCTATATAGTCGTAATGGTTTGGCACAGTTTCTCATCCTCATATATTGTTCGTGTAGATGAACAGTTACAGTGAGAAAGTTCACCGATGTCTTCCACCAACCAATGTCGTACATGACGTATCGTGTTGACGCAATACAGCGGCTACCGAACGAGAAGATAGCAGCCTACACAGACGTCAGGCTACAGGACGCGGCCAGACCTTTAAATATATAAAGAAGGAGGGAGGGTATTATGAGGGGAAAGGGCCAAGCCGCGAGGGAGCAGGCGTATACACAATAACAACAGAAGACCAATGAACGTTTAGTGAAGGGAACAACACTAACGTTCCTCCAGAACGCCTAGAGTCAGGATGGTGGAGCGTGTCAGATAATACACCTCCCACGATGGCACTCTTCAGGACATTCTGTGCGTGAGTGCGTGCTGTGTTTACCATATATATATCTTTGGAAACACAAACCGAAACTGTGTCTATTTTCCGCTTGTTACAAGTTGTAATAAAGTTGTTACATCTTGACTTAACGTATTTATGACGTATTAGAACGTTGTTACAACTTGCTATATTGGTTGTTATAACTGGTTAGGAGGTGTTAAAATTTGTTCCAACGTTGTACCAACGTCGTAGTTTCGGTGTGTGTTTGGCGGGATATTAATGTCGTATATCAATGAAACTGGCGAATCACTTATAAAACTCACTCCAAATACTGCATCTGAGGTGTCTTTTACGAGTGGACAGAGCGTCTCAAGGACTCAACTACGGGCTCACCATAGCCCGTGCTACTTGGGACATTTTGTTCCAAGTAGCGAATCTTTGCAGGCGATGAGTCACAATAACGGGGCTGAAGTATGTTGACCAGACCACACACTAGAAGTTGAAGGGACGACGACGTTTCGGTCCGTCCTGGACCATTCTCAAGTCGATTGTGACAATCTAGTGTTTGGTCTGGTCAACATACTTTAGCGAATCTTTAACAAGAACAGCGTCTCAAGGAAGCACCCTTGAGGCAGCGTCTTACTCGGTGATAAAACACTGGTAGATGTGGTGAAGGTCACTCCTGAAGCATTGTCATGCTGCAGTCGTCATTCCTAATGAAACACTCGCCTCAGCCTGCATGCCGCATGAATCACAGCATATGCGTACATCGCCATGCAACATTGATGGCACGTCTCACAATTACCTGACTTAATCACCAGTAATGACAATTAAAACAGGAGAGACACGGCCATCACGACGAGCAGCGACTCCCAACACCTTCTACACCCCCCCTGTCACACTAGCCCCGTCCTCACCCCCCCCCTGTCACACTAGCCCCGTCCTCACCCCCCCCCCCTGTCACACTAGCCCCGTCCTCAGGCTCGGCCACGGTACACCATCCTGGTGCCCACGGTACACCATCCTGGTGCCCACGGTACACCATCCTGGTGCCCACGGTACACCATCCTGGTGCCCACGGTACACCATCCTGGTGCCCACGGTACACCATCCTGGTGCCCACGGTACACCATCCTGGTGCCCACAGTACACCATCCTGGTGCCCACAGTACACCATCCTGGTGCCCACGGTACACCATCCTGGTGCCCACGGTACACCATCCTGGTGCCCACGGTACACCATCCTGGTGCCCACGGTACACCATCCTGGTGCCCACGGTACACCATCCTGGTGCCCACGGTACACCATCCTGGTGCCCACGGTACACCATCCTGGTGCCCACAGTACACCATCCTGGTGCCCACAGTACACCATCCTGGTGCCCACGGTACACCATCCTGGTGCCCACGGTACACCATCCTGGTGCCCACAGTACACCATCCTGGTGCCCACAGTACACCATCCTGGTGCCCACAGTACACCATCCTGGTGCCCACAGTACACCATCCTGGTGCCCACAGTACACCATCCTGGTGCCCACAGTACACCATCCTGGTGCCCACGGTACACCATCCTGGTGCCCACGGTACACCATCCTGGTGCCCACAGTACACCATCCTGGTGCCCACGGTACACCATCCTGGTGCCCACGGTACACCATCCTGGTGCCCACGGTACACCATCCTGGTGCCCACGGTACACCATCCTGGTGCCCACAGTACACCATCCTGGTGCCCACGGTACACCATCCTGGTGCCCACAGTACACCATCCTGGTGCCCACGGTACACCATCCTGGTGCCCACGGTACACCATCCTGGTGCCCACAGTACACCATCCTGGTGCATAATAATTCTACACCATAATAATAATATGGTGATAATACACCATAATGATTCTATTGACTTTATCTCGTAACGGAGCCTTTAGAAGACAGAATATTTATTTATAAGACAAATAATAAAGATCTTGGCATAGTTCAACCCAGCAAAGGTTGATTGAGAAGTGAGAAATTCTCAAGGACACGAAGCTACATGGAGCACAAAACTAGTAGAGGCTACAGATGGAAATTTTTTGATCCTTTAAAGTTAAGCGAGTATCTTATTTCCCAGAACAAACCAGATATATAAGAAGGATTGATTGCCGAAAACAATAAATTGCAGTGAGTGTTGTAGGTTAACATTTGAGATGCATAGCGAATCATTAAGACCAACTACCCATCGTCTCTACCCCCAATCACTTGGGCTGGATTGTAGAGCGACGGTCTCGCTTCATGCAGGTCGGCGTTCAATCCCCGACCGTGCAAGTAGTTGGGCACTATCCATCCTCCCCGTCCCATCCCAAATCCTTATCCTGATTCCTTCCCAGTGCTACATAGTCTAATGGCTTGGCGCTTTCCCCTGATAGTTCCCGTCCCCTTCATCGAATGAGAGAGTACGACAAAATAAGGGAGTGCTGGGCAAGACGTTCTTGTAACACATTACAGCAAATCGGCGCATGATGAAACACGTGTTACACAAATGTTTAGGGGCGGAAGGGATGTATGTGAGTTTTAGGCAAGGACGGCAGCCCATGGTTCAGTAGGCAAGGACGGCAGCCCATGGTTCAGTAGGCAAGGAAGGCAGCCCGTGGTTCAGTAGGCAAGGACGGCAGCCCGTGGTTCAGTAGGCAAGGACGGCAGCCCGTGGTTCAGTAGGCAAGGACGGCAGCCCGTGGTTCAGTAGGCAAGGAAGGCAGCCCGTGGTTCAGTATGCAAGGAAGGCAGCCCATGGTTCAGTAGGCAAGGACGGCAGCCCGTGGTTCAGTAGGCAAGGAAGGCAGCCCGTGGTTCAGTAGGCAAGGAAGGCAGCCCGTGGTTCAGTAGGCAAGGACGGCAGCCCGTGGTTCAGTAGGCAAGGAAGGCAGCCCGTGGTTCAGTATGCAAGGAAGGCAGCCCATGGTTCAGTAGGCAAGGACGGCAGCCCGTGGTTCAGTAGGCAAGGACGGCAGCCCGTGGTTCAGTAGGCAAGGAAGGCAGCCCGTGGTTCAGTAGGCAAGGAAGGCAGCCCATAGTTCAGTAGGCAAGGAAGGCAGCCCGTGGTTCAGTAGGCAAGGAAGGCAGCCCATGGTTCAGTAGGCAAGGAAGGCAGCCCATGGTTCAGTAGGCAAGGACGGCAGCCCATGGTTCAGTAGGCAAGGAAGGCAGAACTTGGTTCAGTAGGCAAGGAAGGCAGCCCTTGGTTCAGTAGGCAAGGAAGGAAGCCCGTGGTTCAGTAGGCAAGGAAGGCAGCCCATGGTTCAGTAGGCAAGGACGGCAGCCCATGGTTCAGTAGGCAAGGAAGGCAGCCCATGGTTCAGTAGGCAAGGACGGCAGTCCATGGTTCAGTAGGCAAGGACGGCAGCCCGTGGTTCAGTAGGCAAGGAAGGCAGCCCGTGGTTCAGTAGGCAAGGAAGGCAGCCCGTGGTTCAGTAGGCAAGGAAGGCAGCCCGTGGTTCAGTATGCAAGGAAGGCAGCCCATGGTTCAGTAGGCAAGGACGGCAGCCCGTGGTTCAGTAGGCAAGGAAGGCAGCCCGTGGTTCAGTAGGCAAGGAAGGCAGCCCGTGGTTCAGTAGGCAAGGAAGGCAGCCCGTGGTTCAGTATGCAAGGAAGGCAGCCCATGGTTCAGTAGGCAAGGACGGCAGCCCGTGGTTCAGTAGGCAAGGACGGCAGCCCGTGGTTCAGTAGGCAAGGAAGGCAGCCCGTGGTTCAGTAGGCAAGGAAGGCAGCCCATAGTTCAGTAGGCAAGGAAGGCAGCCCGTGGTTCAGTAGGCAAGGAAGGCAGCCCATGGTTCAGTAGGCAAGGAAGGCAGCCCATGGTTCAGTAGGCAAGGACGGCAGCCCATGGTTCAGTAGGCAAGGAAGGCAGAACTTGGTTCAGTAGGCAAGGAAGGCAGCCCTTGGTTCAGTAGGCAAGGAAGGAAGCCCGTGGTTCAGTAGGCAAGGAAGGCAGCCCATGGTTCAGTAGGCAAGGACGGCAGCCCATGGTTCAGTAGGCAAGGAAGGCAGCCCATGGTTCAGTAGGCAAGGACGGCAGTCCATGGTTCAGTAGGCAAGGAAGGCAGCCCATGGTTCAGTAGGCAAGGACGGCAGTCCATGGTTCTGTAGGCAAGGACGGCAGCCCATGGTTCAGTAGGCAAGGAAGGCAGCCCATGGTTCAGTAGGCAAGGAAGGCAGCCCATGGTTCAGTAGGCAAGGACGGCAGTCCATGGTTCAGTAGGCAAGGACGGCAGCCCGTGGTTCAGTAGGCAAGGAAGGCAGCACATGGTTCAGTAGGCAAGGAAGGCAGCCCACGGTTCAGTAATCAACGCAGGCAGCCCACGGTTCAGTAATCAACGCAGGCAGCCCACGGTTCAGTAATCAACGCAGGAACGGTATTATAAACAGGAAAGAATGACCACAAGCACTTGGAATATAAGACAGAGGACAAAATAGAGGGATTAAAGGTTGAGACTTACGGACACGTCGTCCGCGGGGCTCCGAGGCTTACTACTTACTGGAGAGTTGAAATCTCTCACTTTCTTTCCTCTCTTCGATTAGCTCATGGAACTATTACGCTTAATTGCACACACCCCCCCCCCCTGGTAGCTGTGAGCTTTATCTTGGTGTGGCCTCCCATGGTAGCTGTGAGCTTTATCTTGGTGGGGCCTCCCATGGTAGCTGTGAGCTTTATCTTGGTGTGGCCTCCCATGGTAGCTGTGAGCTTTATCGTGGTGTGGCCTCCCATGGTAGCTGTGAGCTTTATCTTGGTGTGGCCGCCCATGGTAGCTGTGAGCTTTATCTTGGTGTGGCCTCCCATGGTAGCTGTGAGCTTTATCTTGGTGTGGCCCCCCCTGGTAGCTGTGAGCTTTATCTTGGTGTGGCCTCCCATGGTAGCTGTGAGCTTTATCTTGGTGTGGCCGCCCATGGTAGCTGTGAGCTTTATCTTGGTGTGGCCGCCCATGGTAGCTGTGAGCTTTATCTTGGTGTGGCCTCCCATGGTAGCTGTGAGCTTTATCTTGGTGTGGCCTCCCATGGTAGCTGTGAGCTTTATCTTGGTGTGGCCTCCCATGGTAGCTGTGAGCTTTATCTTGGTGTGGCCGCCCATGGTAGCTGTGAGCTTTATCTTGGTGTGGCCGCCCATGGTAGCTGTGAGCTTTATCTTGGTGTGGCCTCCCATGGTAGCTGTGAGCTTTATCTTGGTGTGGCCGCTCATGGTAGCTGTGAGCTTTATCGTGGTGTGGCCTCCCATGGTAGCTGTGAGCTTTATCTTGGTGCGGCCTCCCATGGTAGCTGTGAGCTTTTTCTTGGTGTGGCCTCCCATGGTAGCTGTGAGCTTTATCTTGGTGTGGCCTCCCATGGTAGCTGTGAGCTTTATCTTGGTGTGGCCTCCCATGGTAGCTGTGAGCTTTATCTTGGTGTGGCCGCCCATGGTAGCTGTGAGCTTTATCTTGGTGTGGCCGCCCATGGTAGCTGTGAGCTTTATTGTGGTGTGGCCGCCCATGGTAGCTGTGAGCTTTATCTTGGTGTGGCCTCCCATGGTAGCTGTGAGCTTTATCTTGGTGTGGCCGCCCATGGTAGCTGTGAGCTTTATCGTGGTGTGGCCGCCCATGGTAGCTGTGAGCTTTATCTTGGTGTGGCCTCCCATGGTAGCTGTGAGCTTTATCTTGGTGTGGCCGCCCATGGTAGCTGTGAGCTTTATCTTGGTGTGGCCGCCCATGGTAGCTGTGAGCTTTATCTTGGTGTGGCCGCCCATGGTAGCTGTGAGCTTTATCGTGGTGTGGCCGCCCATGGTAGCTGTGAGCTTTATCTTGGTGTGGCCGCCCATGGTAGCTGTGTGCTTTATCTTGGTGTGGCCGCCCATGGTAGCTGTGAGCTTTATCGTGGTGTGGCTTTGATGCTGTGAACTTCATATTAGGAAGGTCAGTCATATATTGGGTCAGGATCACGTGCTGCCGGCTGGCTGCCACGTGTCTTGGGACGTGCTGCCGGCTGGCTGCCACGTGTCTTGGGACGTGCTGCCGGCTGGCTGCCACGTGTCTTGGGACGTGCTGCCGGCTGGCTGCCACGTGTCTTGGGACGTGCTGCCGGCTGGCGGTCACGTGATCCTGCTGTCAGTGACCCGTCACTGCTACAGTGATTACTCCCCCCCCCCCTCCCTCCCCCCCCCCCCCTCCCTCCCCTCCCCTCCTCTCCCTCCCCTCCCCTCCCCTCCCCTCCTCCCCCCCTCCTCCCCCCCCTGGTTCTAGTCACCACTATTGATGCCCACAATAGTAGCATCGTTAGTAGTACCATCAGTAGTATCGTTAGTCTATGCAAAGAGACATACAGTAGACATTCTCCATCTATTGTTGTAGGTAATGTTTCAGTGTTTTTCTCCTCGCATCGTTGACCTCCTCCAATGTCTTGATGTATATGATAATTTGTACTGTTTCTCTAATGTTGACTTGGGGGCTTATTTGTGTATTTATATGTCGGCTTGGTTAGCTGTTGGTGTTGTGGGTCACAGTGTTGTGGGTCACGGTGTTGTGGGTCACAGTGTTGTGGGTCACGGTGTTGTGAGTCACTGTGTTGTGGGTCACAGTGTTGTGGGTCACAGTGTTGTGGGTCACGGTGTTGTGGGTCACAGTGTTGTGGGTCACGGTGTTGTGGGTCACAGTGTTGTGGGTCACTGTGTTGTGAGTCACTGTGTTGTGGGTCACGGTGTTGTGAGTCACGGTGTTGTGAGTCACGGTGTTGTGGGTCACAGTGTTGTGGGTCACGGTGTTGTGGGTCACAGTGTTGTGGGTCACGGTGTTGTGAGTCACTGTGTTGTGGGTCACGGTGTTGTGGGTCACAGTGTTGTGGGTCACTGTGTTGTGAGTCACTGTGTTGTGGGTCACGGTGTTGTGGGTCACAGTGTTGTGGGTCACGGTGTTGTGAGTCACTGTGTTGTGGGTCACGGTGTTGTGAGTCACGGTGTTGTGGGTCACGGTGTTGTGGGTCACGGTGTTGTGGGTCACAGTGTTGTGGGTCACGGTGTTGTGAGTCACTGTGTTGTGGGTCACGGTGTTGTGAGTCACGGTGTTGTGGGTCACGGTGTTGTGGGTCACGGTGTTGTGGGTCACGGTGTTGTGGGTCACAGTGTTGTGGGTCACGGTGTTGTGAGTCACTGTGTTGTGGGTCACGGTGTTGTGAGTCACTGTGTTGTGGGTCACGGTGTTGTGGGTCACGGTGTTGTGGGTCACGGTGTTGTGGGTCACGGTGTTGTGAGTCACTGTGTTGTGGGTCACTGTGTTGTGGGTCACAGTGTTGTGAGTCACTGTGTTGTGGGTCACTGTGTTGTGGGTCACGGTGTTGTGAGTCACTGTGTTGTGGGTCACTGTGTTGTGGGTCACTGTGTTGTGGGTCACGGTGTTGTGGGTCACTGTGTTGTGGGTCACAGTGTTGTGGGTCACGGTGTTGTGGGTCACTGTGTTGTGGGTCACTGTGTTGTGGGTCACTGTGTTGTGGGTCACTGTGTTGTGGGTCACTGTGTTGTGGGTCACTGTGTTGTGGGTCACAGTGTTGTGGGTCACTGTGTTGTGGGTCACTGTGTTGTGGGTCACGGTGTTGTGAGTCACTGTGTTGTGAGTCACTGTGTTGTGGGTCACTGTGTTGTGGGTCACTGTGTTGTGGGTCACGGTGTTGTGGGTCACGGTGTTGTGGGTCACTGTGTTGTGGGTCACTGTGTTGTGGGTCACGGTGTTGTGGGTCACTGTGTTGTGAGTCACAGTGTTGTGAGTCACTGTGTTGTGGGTCACTGTGTTGTGGGTCACTGTGTTGTGGGTCACTGTGTTGTGGGTCACTGTGTTGTGGGTCACGGTGTTGTGGGTCACTGTGTTGTGGGTCACTGTGTTGTGGGTCACTGTGTTGTGGGTCACTGTGTTGTGGGTCACAGTGTTGTGGGTCACGGTGTTGTGGGTCACGGTGTTGTGGGTCACGGTGTTGTGGGTCACAGTGTTGTGGGTCACAGTGTTGTGGGTCACGGTGTTGTGGGTCACAGTGTTGTGGGTCATAGTGTTGTGGGTCACAGTGTTGTGGGTCACAGTGTTGTGGGTCACGGTGTTGTGGGTCACGGTGTTGTGGGTCACAGTGTTGTGGGTCACAGTGTTGTGGGTCACGGTGTTGTGAGCCACAGTGTTGTGGGTCACAGTGTTGTGGGTCACGGAGTTGTGAGCCACAGTGTTGTGGGTCACGGTGTTGTGGGTCACAGTGTTGTGGGTCACAGTGTTGTGGGTCACGGTGTTGTGGGTCACGGTGTTGTGGGTCACAGTGTTGTGGGTCACTGTGTTGTGGGTCACGGTGTTGTGGGTCACAGTGTTGTGGGTCACAGTGTTGTGGGTCACAGTGTTGTGGGTCACAGTGTTGTGGGTCACGGTGTTGTGGGTCACGGTGTTGTGGGGTGTTGTGGGTCACAGTGTTGTGGGTCACAGTGTTGTGGGTCACAGTGTTGTGGGTCACAGTGTTGTGGGTCACGGTGTTGTGGGTCACGGTGTTGTGGGTCACAGTGTTGTGGGTCACAGTGTTGTGGGTCACACGGTGTTGTGTCACTGTGTTGTGGGTCACAGTGTTGTGGGTCACAGTGTTGTGGGTCACAGTGTTGTGGGTCACAGTGTTGTGGGTCACAGTGTTGTGGGTCACAGTGTTGTGGGTCACAGTGTTGTGGGTCACAGTGTTGTGGGTCACAGTGTTGTGGGTCACAGTGTTGTGGGTCACGGTGTTTGTGTGTTGTCACAGTGTTGTGGGTCACAGTGTTGTGGGTCACAGTGTTGTTGTGTTGGTCACAGTGTTGTGGGTCACAGTGTTGTGTGTCACAGTTGTGGGTCACAGTGTTGTGGGTCACAGTGTTGTGGGTCACAGTGTTGTGGGTCACGGTATTGTGGGTCACAGTGTTGTGGGTCACAGTGTTGTGGGTGTTGTGGGTCACAGTGTTGTGGGTCACGGTGTTGTGGGTCACAGTGTTGTGGGTCACAGTGTTGTGGGTCACGGTGTTGTGGGTCACAGTGTTGTGGGTCACGGTGTTGTGGGTCACAGTGTTGTGGGTCACGGTGTTGTGAGTCACTGTGTTGTGGGTCACAGTGTTGTGGGTCACTGTGTTGTGGGTCACGGTGTTGTGGGTCACAGTGTTGTGGGTCACGGTGTTGTGGGTCACAGTGTTGTGGGTCACTGTGTTGTGAGTCACTGTGTTGTGGGTCACGGTGTTGTGAGTCACGGTGTTGTGAGTCACGGTGTTGTGGGTCACAGTGTTGTGGGTCACGGTGTTGTGGGTCACAGTGTTGTGGGTCACGGTGTTGTGAGTCACTGTGTTGTGGGTCACGGTGTTGTGGGTGTGTTGTGGGTCACTGTGTTGTGGGTCACTGTGTTGTGGGTCACGGTGTTGTGGGTCACGGTGTTGTGGGTCACGGTGTTGTGAGTCACTGTGTTGTGGGTCACGGTGTTGTGAGTCACGGTGTTGTGGGTCACGGTGTTGTGGGTCACGGTGTTGTGGGTCACAGTGTTGTGGGTCACGGTGTTGTGAGTCACTGTGTTGTGGGTCACGGTGTTGTGAGTCACGGTGTTGTGGGTCACGGTGTTGTGGGTCACGGTGTTGTGGGTCACGGTGTTGTGGGTCACAGTGTTGTGTCACGGTGTTGTGGTCACTGTGTTGTGGGTCACGGTGTTGTGGTCACGGTGTTGTGGGTCACGGTGTTGTGGGTCACGGTGTTGTGGGTCACGGTGTTGTGGGTCACGGTGTTGTGGGTCACTGTGTTGTGGGTCACTGTGTTGTGGGTCACGGTGTTGTGGGTCACTGTGTTGTGGGTCACTGTGTTGTGGGTCACGGTGTTGTGGGTCACTGTGTTGTGGGTCACTGTGTTGTGGGTCACTGTGTTGTGGGTCACGGTGTTGTGGGTCACTGTGTTGTGGGTCACAGTGTTGTGGGTCACGGTGTTGTGGGTCACTGTGTTGTGGGTCACTGTGTTGTGGGTCACTGTGTTGTGGGTCACTGTGTTGTGGGTCACTGTGTTGTGGGTCACTGTGTTGTGGGTCACTGTGTTGTGGGTCACTGTGTTGTGGGTCACTGTGTTGTGGGTCACGGTGTTGTGGGTCACTGTGTTGTGGGTCACTGTGTTGTGGGTCACTGTGTTGTGGGTCACTGTGTTGTGGGTCACGGTGTTGTGGGTCACGGTGTTGTGGGTCACTGTGTTGTGGGTCACTGTGTTGTGGGTGTGTTGTGGGTCACTGTGTTGTGGGTCACGGTGTTGTGGGTCACTGTGTTGTGGGTCACTGTGTTGTGGGTCACTGTGTTGTGGGTCACGGTGTTGTGGGTCACGGTGTTGTGAGTCACTGTGTTGTGGGTCACTGTGTTGTGGGTCACAGTGTTGTGGGTCACTGTGTTGTGGGTCACTGTGTTGTGGGTCACGGTGTTGTGGGTCACTGTGTTGTGGGTCACTGTGTTGTGGGTCACTGTGTTGTGGGTCACTGTGTTGTGGGTCACTGTGTTGTGGGTCACTGTGTTGTGGGTCACTGTGTTGTGGGTCACTGTGTTGTGGGTCACTGTGTTGTGGGTCACTGTGTTGTGGGTCACTGTGTTGTGGGTCACTGTGTTGTGGGTCACGGTGTTGTGGGTCACTGTGTTGTGGGTCACTGTGTTGTGGGTCACTGTGTTGTGGGTCACTGTGTTGTGGGTCACTGTGTTGTGGGTCACGGTGTTGTGGGTCACGGTGTTGTGGGTCACTGTGTTGTGTTGTGGGTCACGGTGTTGTGGGTCACTGTGTTGTGGGTCACAGTGTTGTGGGTCACAGTGTTGTGGGTCACTGTGTTGTGGGTCACTGTGTTGTGGGTCACGGTGTTGTGGGTCACGGT